GTTCTCATAGTACATCTATACAATAAATTAACATTTTTTAGGTTTTAACTTATTGAGAAGTAGTTTTATTTTGTTTTCGCAACTTGACAGCGTTATCATGGGGACTAAGGTGAACGTACCTTGTCCGGTGGCCACTGCTATAGTAGTCCTTACAACTTTCTGCGTCGAATAGTTCTAAGCATTTCTGAAAGAGGCACAATTTTGCTTATGGTGCTTAGTGTTTGCTAGATTAAAGGCTATGAATAAAATGATGATTTATGAGGGCATTGATATAAGTTTGTAGATTATATTTAATTAAACTATATAACTCATTATTTGATTTGCCAGAATGATTGTTCCCATCGTTATTCTTAGGTATACAACACACAATATTTTACTATGATATGTTTTTTTTAAATTAACTCCAATAACTATTTTTAGTTCATTGTTGGGAAGATTTAGATATTTAATTTTTAAAGGTATTCGTGCTTTTTTTCAAGTCCTAATTGAGGCTGTGAATAGCTGATATAATAGCGTTTTAATAAGATTATGACTAAATCATGCTATAAAATCTTGTCTCGTTAATTTTGCTCTTTTTTTATCTTTTGACACTCGTATGGTTTACTACTATGTTGTTGTCTTATTCTAGAATTTGAACTTCATTTTTAAGCCCTTTAGAATTGGTCGCCTGAAAATACTTCAGCATATGCTGTGATTATTTGGTACTTCTAGCAATCTGTCTCCTTATTTTAATGTACATCATCATGCTCGTAATATAAGCCTAGTTATTAATTTAATAAAGTCTCTGAAATGTTATTTGGGCATAGCTATGACTATATTTCGTATTATTGTTTGTGAATTTATTACCATCGTGGATATCAGAGTATATCAATCCGGGCCCTTAACTGTCTTTATAGATATACCATTTTGATGCTAGAATGCTGTATATATGAAATGTACATATAGAACAATAATTATATACTACATATAATTACTTACCAAAATATTCCGTGAAGTTTACTGAATTAGATAGGCTTATAGTATATTTTGTACATGAAATTTTTAAAAATAAAAGACGTTTTCACCTTTATGTAGGTCGCCAAATGCAGCGAAATTCAGCAAAATAATTAACTTAAATAAATGTGCCTTGAATAATTAAAAAAATATATCAGTTTAAATTATGAACTAGATAAGGCTATGGCGCTTCTTGACTTTCCTTGATTTTATTCGAAGCCTTCACCTAACAGCCAAAGACCCGGCCTTTTTGCACTCTTGTCATTGAGATCCAAGACGTGTGACTAAACATTTTGGCCCAGAACGAATCACCACATCGAATTTATAGCTCCTTATTTTGCCTTTTATTCTGTGCCTCCTGAAAATTCGAGCTTAGTGAAAGACGAAAGATATTTGTAAAGATGTTTATTTTTTTTCTATCAGAGACGGAATTATGTACCTGAAAAATGGGTGATTTAAACAAGAAAGTTCTAAAATCTGGCTTGTCTCTCTAAAGCATGTACTATGTCTACTTTGCTTGAAGAATCTTTTTAATTCAATTTGTCACCGGCCCTCTTGGGAGTGAAACTTTCTGATAAACAGCTTCAACTACTATAGGTCTTTATTCACAAGAATTCGAAGAGTTTTTCGAGGCGAGTAGGACATTAGCGCTATAGCAAAATATGCGATTGCCTCAATTTTATTGTCCACTACACCATTATATTTTAAACTATCATATTGTCAATAAATTAGGAATCATCCATGCTCCCAATGTCTATCCCTCCTGATCACAGTTGTGGTTCTTGCAAGAGAGAACTCTTCAACTTTTTATTATAACTACTGAGTGCAAAGGGAAAGCCAATGTTCGAACTCTTC